CACCTGTGAGGCCAGACAATGTGCAAAGGTCTTTGCTGATAGTCCGTTCCACTCAAGAGATTACAAGGGTTAAAAGTCACATGTTGCTTATCTTCTTGACAAGGCACTTCTTGATTTGTACTTTCTGATGCTTTAGACTTGTTCAGTTTCTCTAGTGATGTTAATGGGTATTGTAGTCTTTCTTGTTGTGTGGTACAAAGTCCAGACTGTGCTTCACAAAGTCCAGACTCAGGACTTGAGCTGCTGGTTTTCATTAAACTCCCAGTGGCTCTATACTTCTGTTGGAAAGGCAGACACCTAAATAGATAAGTATCTTCATTTCCTCTAAAACCAGTTATCTTCTCCAAATAGGCCAGTTTGTGCTCCGGCATGAATCTATTATCAAAAAAGAAAATTCCTGTATGGCATTTACACTGGATACAAATAATTTCAGTTGGCACTTTTTAGTTATTTAATTGCAAATGAAAAGAGAGGATGGTCAACATTTTTGATCCTGGGAACAACATCCCGGGAATTCAGTAAGAGTGATATTTTTTCATATTTTAGCAAATGTAGTGCTTGTGAAAGGTGACAGACTCACAGGCCTAGAACGTGAGTGCCTCTATTAAACCACAGTACAGCTATAGCATAGACATTGACGACAGGATCCCACACCATTTGCAGACCATTTGCTTCCAATTTGAAATGGAGGAAAATCTCGAAGAGGTAAGAAGGCAGTTCTGTTTCCATAGCCATTAATTTTTTGGTCTTTTTGCAGAGACTACATAAAATTGCTAATAAGTGCCAAATGCAGTGGTGATTTTACTATCACGTGAACACCTCTCTCAGAGACTAGACTGAGACCAGCAAATCACTTCTTATAGGTCAATGAACAGCTTTCATTAACTAATAACCTGGGCCAAATCTGAACCTGTGGCATGAAAGTGAAAGTCTCCTTATCTCATTACTCATCATTTGACCCAAATGAATCTCTGTTAAAAATGTATTATCACAAAATAATTAACAAATACATTAAAAAAACCCTTAGGATTTAGTTGTGAATTTGGTCTATAACATGAGGTAGGCTGAAGTGTACTGCACATTTTACCTGGCTGACATCTAAACTAAGGATATAGATCATTCTTACCAGGACACACGGCATAGGAATCTGTTCCCACACTTTAAAATGAGTGGGGCCTAACAACAAGACACCTACTGAGTTAGAAAATTAGATCTGGAACACTGCATATTAGTAAACAGTGTCTACCTCTCAACCTGCAATGCCCCTGCTGGCTCCCTTTAGCAACTGCAGCAGCAGTAGACAAAGGCCAGACATGTCTGTTGCCTTATAAACCAAGGTGCTCAGAAGCACATACCCTTTCTAAAGGAGACACTATAAGATCCACTCTCAAGCTGGAGGCATCTGCCCGGACTCTCCCTACTATGCAGCAGGTCTGAATAATCACCGCATTCTCATTTACAGCTAAGAAAATGGAAGTAAAGAGATTAAGTGACTTTGCCAAGGTCACAGAGACAGTCTTACAATTCAGGAGTTCCTGGCTTCCAGTTATGTGTTCAGACTACACCTCTCGTCGCCTGCTGAAAGCCTCTCAACAACAGGATAAATTTTAATAGTTATATGCAGGACACAGTGCTCACTTAGTACTATTTGAAAAGTGACATTTTATACTGTGTAATTTTGATATTTGTTTTTTAAGTAGTTGTGAATTATGGGCCATCATCAGGAAATGCTGAGAGAGGAAAAGGTCACTTCATTCAATCAGTTTGTCTCTTTTAAGTTCATTATCAAACTGACTGCACAGCTCTGTCACTGGGTCCTGCAAAGTCTTCTCTTTCATAAATATATATCTGTATCTTAAGGTTAGTTACTTAAACATTATTTGTTTCTGTGGCCTTGTTTGGCAACACACAAGTACTATTTAAGATAAATAAGTCTGAATTCCCAGTTTCCTTTAATTTCCAAATGTTTAGATTGTGTGGCCTGATTATTGAACTGTTTTACCAGAATGAACACTTGCTCTATTATACCAACTCCTTACACTCTTCTTCAGACTTCCAATCAATCACACTGAAACCTTCATTTCTGAATTGAGAATAAACTACTTCTTTAGCCTTTTGTCAAAACAAATATCCAAACCCTGGACTCATCCAGGTTACCCTGCAATGCAGTCTCTTTAAAGGCAAATAAATGGCTCTGAAATTATACCAAAATTCTACCCATACTGCAGTCAGAAGTTTACTGCAGTCAGAAGTTTACTGCAGTCGTACACTTGACTAATTGCTTTGAGGATTTGTCTGCAATAACCCCTCAGTTTCTTTTCCTAGTCAGTATACTGTTCTGTTTAATCTGTACTCCCTATTTTGGGTTGTTACCCCCAAACATATTATTTTACATTTAATGACATTAAGCAGTACTTTCCACCCAGTAATTTAAATGATCCAAATTCTTTTGAATTTAGTTACAGTGTTCCTCATTATTTGTTATATTTATCCTGTAGATATAATCAGCAAATTTTGATATTTAACATTTAATATCCTCATCCAAATCAATTACACATATTATAAACAAGAGAGGTTCCCAAACCAATCTCAGAGGTAAACTCTTTCCATTAGCCAATCCCATTTATCTACCACTTTCAAAAAGAGCTATTTCATTCTCATATCAGTACTACTTACTATTACCAGTAAATGTTAATGTAGAATCTTTCCAAATGTTTTTGGTAAATCAAAATTCCCATGCACTTTATGAAGAAATGTCTATATAAAAAAGTAGCATCGTACCAATGGCTAACCTAACATACTGACAACTATATTAGCTGCTCTGAACAAATGTGCTCATCAAAGTATTATTTGCCTAAATTTCACACTAATAATATGATAATAGATATCATCTAACACAAGCTAACATTCTAGACCCAGCACAATCCAGATTCAGACCAGGACATGGAACTGAAACTGCTTTAGTGGCACTGACAGATGATCTTCTCCTGTCAATGGAGAGAGGACCGGCAGACATTCTCATCCTCGTAGCCCTCTCTGCAGCACTCCACACAACTGACCATGAGATTCTGCTGTCAGACCTGAAAGAAGTGGCTGGGGTCCACAGTAATGCACTAAGAGTATGGTGACATTTTGTGCTGGAGATGTAATTTCCAGCTGGAGGAGACATGCCTGTGCTAGCTCTGATCAATCTAGCACACTAAAAATAGAAGCATAGCCATGGGACCATGAGCAGCACGGGGGGGGGCTAGCTGCCCTGAGTACAATCCCATCCAAGATGCTAGGTACATACACAAATAACTGGCCCATCCCATCACTCATGCCACCAGGGCTACACTATTTTTAGTGTGGTAGCTCCATTAGAGTTAGCACAGGTATGTCTCCGCAAGCTGGAAATTACACCTCCAACTCAAAATGTAGACATACCCTGAAACTGTTTGAGTGCTTCCCATCAGCTACCCAACAAGTAGTGATGGGAAACTGCACTTCCACCACTAGACCCCACACTTGTGTAGTTTCACAAGGATCATCTCTCTGATCCCTTCCAACATCTACATGAAAGGATCATCTCTCTGATCCCTTCCAACATCACTAGGTGAAAGGGTGAGCTGTCATCACAGATGACCATACCCCTTCCACCAAGATAGCTCAGTGTCTGAATGAGATCAGCTCATGGATGAACTATAGCTGGCTGAAGATCAACCCAAGCAAGACTGAGATTGTGATGCTGGTGGGCAGAGGAAAATATTTTGAGGAGTTTGCAGCCACAGTGCAGTTTCCTTTGGCAGCAGATACACTCCCACAGTTGGTCAATTCAGTCTGTAGACTAGGGATACTCTCAGATTTCTCAGTGATGCTGAGTAGCATCTGTGAATAATGCTTTCTACAATCTCCACTTGGCTAGAAGACTCTGTTCCATCCTGGAGGACAAACACTTGGTCTCAATTATTCATGCCTTCATCACCTTTGGCTGGAATGCAATATACCTGGGCATGAAGCCCTCAGTACTTAGGAAACTCTAACTAGACCAGACTGCGGCAGCAAATCTCAGCAACACAGGCTACCGTGAGCACATCTAACCTGTCTTCTATTGTCTACCCTGGCTTACCACTGAATTTCAAATCAAGTTCAAGGTCTTGGTCCTTATCTTTAAAGGGCTCAATAGCCTGGGCCCAGGATATCTAAAAGACAATCTAAAGCTTTGGGACGAAGATCATAACTATGCTCTCCTCTGCCACAATGGAACTCTCCACAATAAGAGTAAAGCTCATCTGTGTGGTAGATAGCACTTTCTCTGGGGGCAGTCTGAGACTGTGGAGTGAACTTCCTCAAGAACTAAGGACCATCACAAACCACACCACTTTCTGTTCCAAGTACAAGGCACATTTCTTTGACCATGCCTTCTCTAACAAATATATAACAGTGTATATGTGTACAAAATAACAACAAAAAACAACCCTCCAAAAGTCTACCAAAGTAAGACACTCCCTTGCACACACTTCTCCCTTTGGGGAGAGGATGAGAGAACAAACAACACGTTACAGATGTGGAGTCATGTTGCATAATGCACTACTGGAAGGCGCTCAGATATGACTGTAGTAAGCACAATATGAGAACCTAGATAGAATAGAATAGATCTAGAATTGCCTGATGTAGTTCTTAATGGCATTATTTTAGAGGTGCTATAAAAAGGTCAAAGTAGTGATGGTGCTCCCCAAATAAGTGTCATTTGTGCCACTCCATAATCTTACCATTTTCCATGCCCATATGTTTGAGCTACTCTCCAAAACACGAAAAGATTAAATCAATGGGACTTGTGGTTGCTCAGCACTTCTGAGTATCAGGGTACTTATTTAGATTTCTAAATAAGGAGTTAGGTGCCTAAATTTAGGTAATTAATTTTGAAAATGTTGATGATGGCTCTAATACGTGTCTTATTTTAGATCCCCATTTACTTATGTTCCTTTACTTCAGAAATATGGAAATATTAATATTGAAGTAATACAAACTGACAAAAAATTCCATATAATTTACAATTTTAAATACTTTTATTTTTTACTTATACAGTGCCTTCAATAGAATATTATAATGAATTAATCTTCCCAGGATCTCGATGACGTAAGTATTATTATCCACATTTTATATATAGAAAAACTGAGTGACAGACAGCTTCAGTGACCTGAACAGATCCTGGATCACTCAACTCCTACTATCATGCCTCAACCACAAGACCATCCTTGCTCTTTTCTTCTCGTGTCACTCATTTTGAGTCTTTTCACTTGTACTGTAGAAACAGTGACTACCAGCAATTAATCAAAACTCAAATGATCCCCAGCTTAATTCTGTCTGAAACTGTAATCACAATTAATGTTGAA